TTCCCAATATGGCTTCACAAGTGGGTGTTCATGTTTGACAGATCTATTAACATCCTTTTCAACTGTTTTCGAATCAGTGGATGATGGACACAATTATGATATGGTATACCTCTACTTTAGCAAAGCCTTCGACAGAGTCCCACACGAAAGACTAATACGAAAAGTGGATGCTCATGGAATTAGGAGGAAATATTCTAAAATGGATTAGGGCGTGGTTACAGGACAGGAATCAGCGAGTAAGCATTAACAGCCCTAAATTCAATTGGGATAACGTCAATAGTAGAGTACCCCAAGGCTCAGTACTTGGACTATTACTATTTATTATATGCATAAACGACATAGATATAGGCGTACATAGCAATATAAGTAAATTTGCTGACAACACTAAAATAGGGCGTGAAATTAAATCTGACGAGGACTCCGCAAAACTGCAGGAAGATCTAAAAAATTTTTTCGAATGTATGAAAAATTGCAGATGAAATTTAATGTGGACAAATGTAAAGTATTTAGTCTAGGCTCTAAGAGATGGAAATAGAGAAACCAGATATCATGTGAACAATGTTGTTATAGAGAAATCTGACTGTGAGAAAGATTTAGGAGTAATGATAAGTAGGAATCTTCAACCAAGACGATAATGTGTATTTGCTCGAAACAAGGCTCACAAAGTACTTGGGTTCATACAAAGGTGTGTTAGTTACAAGAGGAAGCGAGGTTATCCTAAAACTATATCTTGAGCTTGTGAGACTTCACTTGGATTACAGTACTCATTTCAGTTCTGGTCACCGTACTACAGAATGGATATCGAATCCCTAGAAAGAATTTGGAGGAGCATGTCAAGACTGATCTGGGCATTAGGAACCTTGAGTACAGAGACAGGTTAAAGCATCTTAATTTGCTTTCCATGGAAAGACGTAGAGTGAGGGGAGATATGATCGAGGTGCATAAATGGAAGTCAGGGCTAAACAAAGGTGATATAACAGAGGTACTCAAACTATCCAACCAGGAGCAACTAGTAGCACCGGTTTTAAATTAGACAAATTTAAATTTAGGCGCGAGATAGGTAAACATTGATTTAGAAATAGAGGAGTGGATGTGTGGAACAAGTTACCAAACATCACCATTAACTCGAACTCGTTGGATAGCTTCAAATAGAGGTTGAACAATGAGCAATAGGGGTGTTCATTCTTATTCTCCTCCGTATAGAAGGTCGCTATCAGATCGAGAGTGTCTTTTCGTATATCCATGGTGAGAATGTTTGTACAGTCACGGACAAAAGTTCGCTCCTCTCTGTGAAACTGAGTCACAGGAAAGAGTCTCCGAACTGACTTACCCTAAGTGTTGTATCTCGTTTGGGGTCGATGCTGCTTCATTTTGGAAGAGGGCGAACTTTTGATCCCGACTGTAGTGTACTGTACAATCGAAATACCAGAGACCACATTACTCTGTTGTGGCAACACTGGCCATTACGGAAGAATGACGTCAGCGAACTAGGGATTTTCCCTAGTTAGCAGGAGGGCATGCCTCACCCTCGGCTAGGAATGGTGAGTCTTGTGCCAGCAATGCAGTATTTATCTGGTAAATACGTCTAAAGTTCAAAACCTCACAATAATCCAACAGCTTCCAACCAGTCCAGGAGCCCTTATATCTCTCAACCTCAGCCAAATACTCTCAAAATAACGCTGAAAACCAGGACTTAACTCTAGCCACAATGTTGTTGTGCAGATTCTCTTTTTCTGTCAGATCAATAGTAATAATATATATCTCACAAGCAAACACTCTTTATTGTAAAGTCTAGTTTTTGTCTTAAGTAAAAACCTTAGTAATAAATATAAATGACTTACGGGAGTTCTCTTTCACTTATACTTTACATGTGTTGTGTAAAGTGGATTTTTTTCAACTGCGGGAGGTTTTATACCATCTGATACCGAACCAAATACTGAAGCTACAGTACGTGTATAAATATCAAGTAGTCAACAGAACACAGCCTCCACTGGTTCTGGTTGATGAACATTTCTGTCCTCAGTAATTAGAAAAATGACACAAATTAGAATAAACTCGAAAAAAGCAAATTCAATGGTTCACTAGAGTAAAAAAAAAAAAAACGCCCAGACTCCATCCAATATTTACGACCCACAAGTACACTCAGGTAGACTTCTGTGAAGCTCCTGACTGACTTAATGATTCCTTCGTCTGTATTCACATTACTGGAAGTCGGGGAAGATTTTGATGTGATTACGCTGCATGTAAAAGATCTCACGGCTGCAGGGGAATATTCAGAGAGAGGCAGTAATGAGAGGAGTCTGTGAGGGATACAAGTGTGCTTTAAAGACGATTCCTGACGACGGACACCAACTCAGACTCGAGCCGAACATCATTATACAAGATAGTCTCCTCAGACAGTTTGGAAAAACGGACAGCGAAGTTTGTTGAACTGCCAGACTTGGAGAGTGTATTGAACCAGAATCACTACTACTGTTACTATTACCGTCTTATGCTAAATCTACTTGTACTATACAGTAGTCTACTACTACTACTACCACTACTACTTTTTAAAACGTGGCCTCCAGCCTCCCCCAATAGCCACACCTTCGCCACCATTTATTTACCTTAATATTAAATATCCTAATACAAAGAAGCTATCCTATCTGTGTTAAATTAGTTGAGCCGCAGATCTATGCGGCATTCAGTGACTGTAGCCTCATAGTCAATATCTGCAGCAGTTGTCGGAGTAGGGGCAGAAGCTCTCGTTCCCCTGAGGCAGAGCAAAGCCGACCGAAGGAGAGAGAAGGACAGTCGACATCTCATCCAGGCTGTAACATAACTTTTGGGCTGCTGCTTCTGTTCGGAGATCAGCTCCGCGAGTCTGGCGTAGAAACATCTTGCACTTGGGCCCATCCCACCAGAGGTTGTGAACACTAGAGGAGTGAAGCTGCCTTGATCAACATTTTGAATTCTCTCCCCATATGCCCTTCTCTTGTCGTTCTCGTTCCTCCTATGTGCAGCATCGAGAGCTAGGTTACGGTGACAAACGGCCATGGGATCAAAAATCCTGATGTCGAAGAAAGCTCGCTGTCCCCGCGTCCAGAATCCTCGAGCACTGACGTCCACACGGGCTTCGTTAGATGTGTTTGAAGTCCTGTGTTGAAAGATCTCGCCATCCAGTGGAAGGAGGGTCGGTTCTACCATGACGTCCCGGCAGATTTCCTTCAACATATTTGCTGTGAGATCCCTTACCTCGTCATGCCTCATGCATATGAAGCCCCCCTTCTTGCAGACCATGGCGTGATCGCCATCATAGGGAGAGCCACACACGCATTGGGAGGGCAAACCATCTACTGGCCAACCGTACCTTAGAGCAATGGCATCTGTAAATTCTTGTTTGTTAAGGCTGAAACCATTTGCCCTTATCGGTAACGTAGTTAACCAGTTCGAGGCGCCCACCTCCTGCGCTATAGCTACTTTTTTTGTCAAATTTTCTGGAACCTGCAGCAATAGTTGCTGCAACATGTCATTTTGGCAGTGCTGCCGATCTGTTGTAATGGACCTACGGATCTTATTAACTTCGCTGGTGTCCACTTCCCCTGTTGCATTCTGGGCTATTATGTGGTCAGTGAGGGCTGCCGTGAGCTTAAGTGAATTTTGATGTTCAGAGTCAGCAATCTCCTCTGGATTAGTTAGTCCCATCCCTCCCAGTCTTGGTGGAAGTGCAAGAAGTGTTCTTTCTGCTCGGGTTAAGTCAGGGTGTTTCACTAGTTTGGGAATGAACTTGACACTGATTGCTTCTTCCAAAGGGTGGAGGAGGGGTCCGATCTCAGGGATGGTACGCATCAGGTAGTTCCAACGATGCTTGACTCCATGGGTGAATGCTGCAAAGGCCGCATGTGGCTCTGTGTTAGCAATCTCCGATAGAGCTTGGATTTCGCTCACCCACTCATTCACCTTTCCCGCTACGTACTGGGTCTTGAAGTCCGTAGTGCCAATTACTGCGCCTAGATGTCTTTGGCCGTCCTTAGTTATTTTGACCTCACTTTCGCCGAAAACCTCCAAAGCCCGATCATAATGATCTGGCTTCACGATGAGGAAGGATTTGCTGGCGTTTGGGTGGTACCCTATTTGTGGACCTCGCGATGTTACCAGGCCCCACCACTTTTTGATGTCCTCCACTTTTCCTGCTCCTGTAAGGTCATCAGCATATGCCACTTGTTTGACCCCAGTTGTTTCAAACTTTATTTCTTGTTGGAGCACTGATAGGCCTATTGCATACATTGCCATTGCAACGGGGTCCCCCTGTGTTGTTCCCTCAGTCGACTGTAGGATGGTATCACCTCGTAGAGCCTTGTTGTTTACTATGTAGAGGTCTGATGGATTCCTATACGAATTTTCAACATACATCGCAAAGCTACTACTACTACTACTACTAAACTACTTTTTTTTTGCATTTATTTTTAAACGTGGCCTCCAGCCTCCCCCAATCCACCTTCGCCGCCATTTTATTACCTTAAAATTAAATATCCTAAGACATAATTAGCTATCCTAGCTGTGTTGAGTTAGTTGAGCCGCAGATCTATGCGGCCTTCAGTGACTATTGCCTCATATTCAATATCTGCGACCGTTGTTGGCTTTGGGACCGAAAGCTACTACTACTACTACTACTACGACTACCCTAGTAAAGCCCCCACATATGATTTCATAACTCCCCATCTCCCTCACTTGAGATAATACACCGCATTGTCTCATTTTACCCAAAAATGCACCAGTTATCAACAAATTAAACTCATGATTTCTATTTTCCCCCATGCTTTTCACCCCCAAAAAGAAGAAAAAAGCAGTAGTCAAGAGGAAATTTACAAGTTGTTTCATAATGACGTATAAGATCACAGCAGTAGTGAGTCAATTTCCTTATCAGCGAGATAGCTTCACATAGCAGGAAGTTAGTTATGATTGGGTGTATAATAAGAGATAACGTGTCATATAAAGTGTGGGGGGGCCACCGAGTGAGTCTTTAGTTTGTATTGGTTACTCATGAAGGCAGCTGCTTCATCACCACTCAAGGCCGCGCGCGCAAACATCACTACACAGCACACCCGTCCAAGAACAAGACACTCGTCAACAAGAACAACACACACGTCAACAAGAACATCACACTTATCAGCAAGAACAAGACACTCGTCATCAACAACAGCACGCACGTCAACAAGAACAACATACTCGCCAACAAGAACAACACCCTCATCAACAAGAACAACACAATAGTCATTAGGACAACACACCACTTCAATATGGAACTATCTTGTGTGAAACTGAAGAACAAGTCAAGTGACGTAAGTGTTGTTGATGTGTTACTTAAGTTGTTTCAGATCAAGTGATGCTGAGGTTTTACATAATTTGTTTCAGGTCAAGTGTTGCTGAGGTGTTACTAAATTTGTTTCAGGTCAGGTGCTGCTGATGTGTAACTTAAGTTATTCCAGGTCAATTGTCTTTCGCGAGAGATCCACCTGCTTCAATAAGATTAATTTTATTAAATCATTTAAAAGTCAAAATATAATGTACCATAAGAGTATATTGTGCTTTTGTGTAAGAAGTCTTTGAAGAATATAAACTATGTCACTCTTGCTTCTTTTGTACATTTGGTTTTTGTATCAGAAGACTCTGAAGAAAATAGCTCCATTGTTACTTTTTGTTCCATATATGACGACGGCTTTTGTCCCTCAGTGTTGTATGATGATGTTGTTAGCCTTGACGGCGTCCAATCTGGCTGGTGGTATAGTTATGTGCGTGACACAAGGCTACTCTGACCTGTCAATAGGCATCATGTCTTGTGGTGGTAAGTAGGCCTATTGGACCCTGTCAACTTATTATTAGAAAAAATAACATTAGTCTGACAATAAAATAAATCTTCAGTAAAATGTCTATTTAATGGACTATGGAGAATAAAGTTCGTTTTACCGAGGGTCCGTTAGATGTCAAATCCCCATCTAACGGATTATATGGAGAGATAAGTCCGTTATATGGAGGTTTCACTGTCTATGGGCAATATGATTTACACAGCAAATAAATGTGTAACAGCAATAAACATGATATTGTGTCTACCTCCAGGCGTCGCTTTCTTCGTCGTACTCGTGATAACTTTCACCAAAAAACCCACGAGCGTCCCTTCACCTGGAGAACAAGACCTTTCTCATGACCTTCCTCCCTCCTACCGCAATAGCTGGAGGTTCTCATACCTGAAGAACTGTCCCGCTCACTTGAAGGAGGAACTAGAGGACTTGGAAGAACCAGGAGAACACAAACCACGCCCCTGGACTTGTGTGACAAAAGATGCTAACAACCAGACGACAGACTGTGTGTACGTCGACAGTGAGTTACTCGATGACAGAAGGTGTCCACAAGGCAGTCTCTCATCCTTATCTGCAGTGACTGGAGATGTGAGAGCTGGAGAAGAAGAGGCAGTACATTACGACACCCAACCTGACTGTGTTCCTATTAAATGTAAAGGAGGACTGCCTGTAATCCCCGGTAGGGCGATGCAGGATGTTATTTTACAGGTTGACGATGATCTACCTACCTATGATGAAGCTGCCATGTCCGCCCACCTTCCTCTTCCTTCACACAACACCCAATAACAAGAAACCCATATCCATTATCCAGCACCACGATTATACAGACACCAATAAGTATTATGGTACGTGACTTATCACTCAGTATTATGGTACACAACTTGTCATTTAGTATTAAGGTGCACGACTTAACATCCAACACTAATCAACATTCATCATCCAACACTGATTAATGTTCATATCATCCGAGGCTATGATGAACACTAACACTTCCTACATGTAACACACGTACTCGTAATGGTGTGATACTAAAAATTTATATTTTTGTATAACATAACTTATATTGTTTCTTTATCCTTCTTACTGTGATATATAATTTAAATTCCCTGGTAACCACAGAAAACGGAAATAAATTATATAAAATGGGTTAGTGTGTAGATGACAAGTGTGAACAAGGGAAGACACACACACACACACACACACACACACACACTCTCTCTCTCTCTCTCTCTCTCTCTCTCTCTCTCTCTCTCTCTCTCTCTCACACACACACACACACACATAATAATAATAATAATAATAATAATAGTTGTTGCCCCTCGTGTAACGAGGATGGCCGGCCCAAGGGCCACCTAGGCGTGAATTTGTTTAAGATGTAGAAGCTGTCGCCAATGCAACAACCACACCCCGAGGTAACGAGTTGCATAACCCAGTGTCAAGGAATAGCCCGAGAAGACCGGACAATTCGCCAATTGCACTGGCTAACTATTACCCCGGAATACAATCCGCAAATCGATTAACATCCAGGTTCCCAATTACTGCTGGGTAGACAGAGGCAAATGACGTAAAGAAATTTGCCCATAGTTTCACCCTGCCCGGGAATCGAACCCGGGTCCGCTAGTTTGCGATGCGAGCATGCTGACCATTGCACCATTTACACATACACACACACACACGCACACACACACCAATTATTGCCTCTCACAGCAGTATGATGGCCTTCAAAAGCCTCGTTGTTCTCCCATATAAACAACGACATTCTCAGCATAAAACATCGTCCATCCACCAACCAAGTGATACTTTACTGTGGAATGTTATCATTATATTCTAATATAAACATAAAGCTGGCCAAGAATGGTGATGATTCAACCCTTCTGCAACGCAATTCCGCCTTAGAACGATGCATCATTAGGCAGCAACACACATAACCTCTAACATAATGGTGTGTTTTTATCTCAAGGTTTTACCACCAAGAAAATGTACACTATCATATCCTCGAAGGTCACTGCTATAATGAACCGCCCTGAGATAAGATACTGGCTATGTGAGTCATTGTCATAGGAACAGAAAACAAAATTATACCACGAGAAACTTAAGTTATCGAGAAAAAGTGAAAAGAACTTCATGTATTTCAATTAATTAAGAAATATCGGCCATTTTCATAGTCAAACTTATTAAAAACATTATTTTTTAATACAGTTTAAAAATCGACAGAAAATGTCTCAGAAAACAAAGAAAAATCCTCACAAGCATTTTCTTACAACCCCATCAGGTGTGTAGTATATAAAGTGAAACTATAGTCTTAGCCTTTACTCTTCACTATTATAGTCATGAGGTAGTGTAGCTTATAGTAATGTGCAAAAGAGCGATGGTAGTGGTGGTGTAGGTGTATGTGTAGGTGTACTGTAGGTGTTGGTGTTGTGTGGTGTGGTGTGCTGTGGTGTTGGTGTTAGTTAGTGATATGGGACTAAAGGCATCAAGCTGTCCCGGCTTTGGTATTGGTACAACAATACTGCTGGTCCATGATGTGGGTAGTTGGCCTTCGGCATGGCTCATATTGTACAATGACAATAATGGATAGCCCGACACACGACTTACTAGCCTCACGATAGTGTAGGTGACTCCGTCCTCTCCAGGAGCAGTAGACCTGCCCCTAGCGAGGGCGGCGTCAAGCTCCCACTCAGTATATGGAACATCACACTCATTGTGCTGTTTGCCCAGCATAAAGTTAATGAGATCACTTCTCTCTACAGACTTCACACCAAGGACCTCTCGAGCCCTAGTTGGTAACATGTCATAGCTAGGTACATGAGTCCACTTTGTTATTAGCTCATTTGATTTTTGCAGCGGGTTTGGATGGGGGACGTGTCTACTCTTTTTACCTCTGATTGTGCTTGTCCCTCCAAGCCTTGCTGAGGGGAGTGTGTTGGCTTAGGCTGTTGACATATTTTTCCAATGTATTTGTCTTAGTTCATCCACGCGTTCCCGGACTACAGCGAGGGAAGCTTGAAACAGTTTGAGCATTTGAGGTGTTCTGAGGTGTTTGTAACCCTCAGCAGTCTGCCTGGGTCTAGAGTTATTTGTTTTTTTTCAGTCTGAGGTCATCATAACACTGCTGTGGTCTGTTCCTGTTATGCTGATCAAGTTTCCTCCTATTTTTGATTGGGGCATTATTGGGGAAGAATGCAAAAGTCCGAGCTAAGAAATCGTCATGGAGACTTTGGTAATTGTTAGGCTTGTAATCCTTGTACTAGTCATAGATGAAGTCTATGAACTGGTTTTCATCTTCTTGCTTAACTGTGAGTCTACATCTGTCAAGTTTTTCACCAGTGGGGGTGACATTGGCTACTTGTATACTAGCTTGGATTGGTTTGTGATCAGACATAAGATCAGTGACTACATCAGAGCTATGAGTTGTGATGATATATTACAGCCAGTAATCTTCTCACTGCAGATCTTTACTGTGTGTGGTCGTGCACAGAAACCAGACACGAGCCACATGGCCCCATCGCTGATATTTGTAACATCTCCGAGATGGAGGCTGATAGATGTCTACTTTTAGATAACCGTAAGCACAAAGGATAGTGAGAGTCCTGGGTAGGTCCTCAGATCCTATCCAATCAGCAATGACAGCATTCTTTCCTCTGAGCCGCCTTAGCCTTGTAATGTTCCCATCTTGTCCGAGCATTACAGGGTCTTGGAACTGGGAGAGTTTTTTTATTATTATGGTTGTCCTGTTTGATGTCAATGGTGTGTGTTGCATAGTTATTTCCGCTAGTTCATTGTTGACAAAGTCACTTAGGTTGTCTGGGTCATTCTTCAGCATAACATATCCCTGTCTGTGATTTTTAAGTAAAAACTGAGCTCCCGGTGTCTGGCTGCTGCCTCACGTAACCACATATTTGACAGTGGCTTCTGTGGCGTCAGGGAAGTCTAGGCGTGCTCTTTTAGGGAAAAGAGAGGGCAATTGTTGTTCACGTTTCTCTGCACGTTGTAGCTTCTTCTGCTTCTTGGATTGGACTATTTGAAATCCCTCCATGGCGTCGGTGTCATTTCCAAGGTCAAGGTCGCTCTTGACTGCATCACTCTCTCCCTGCTGCTCTTTTAGGGACTGATCAGCGGTGACTTCATCGGTCGACTCAGACATGGTAGACTGACAAGACTCGACCGTATTTACTTATGGTTGAGGAGGTTTTACAACGGTACCACGTGCATGGAATATGGGCATAAGTGTAGGGGCACTGTGGATTACCAGCAGCTGTCACATTGATCACTGCACTACAGTCACAAAAGCCACTTTACACATGGTCATAGCTCATTGACACTGATGTGAAGTCACTATTACACTTTTTTTCACAATGCGCGAAATATTATATAAGTTTGGTTATCCTGTAGTGTGTGGTACCCAGGCAGTCAGCTGGCATCTCAGTGCCTGAGCTCTGACCTTTACCTTACTGGCGGAGGCCCAGGTGCTACCTCACTGTGTCACAACGTCACAACGTCACACTGTATTTCCTTTATACAGCTTGGTTATGGTACTTATACAGTCTACATTTATAGGGTCGAGGTACCGAGATAACTAAGGCACATAAGGTAACTTCTCACACCTGTACCAAGTTTTATACAGCGCTAGAAGCCAGGTCAGGTGAGAGGAGCGAGAGGGTGTGACCACCCCCTTACGGTGCCTATAGATGACTGAGGGGAATCGGTGGTAGAAGCGGTACCGTTCTTGCCTCGCAAGCGAGATGTCACGGGTTCGATTCTCGGGCCGGTGGAAGTTGTTTGGACTTACTTTCTAGCCCCCATTAGTCCCTGTTCACCTAGCAGTAAAGTAGGTACCTGTTGTAAGTCGAAAGTTGCGAATTCGTATTCAGGGAAAGTTGTTGGAGCTTCCAATAACTTGACATAAACCACTGAATCTTCAGACTTCTACGACCTTAACTCATGAGACATAAAGGCAAGCATGAACTTAGCATGCTTCCCTGTTGGGTGCTGTAAACGCTTCTGCGCTTCACTTTACACAAGGATGTAGGGGAGTGCCCCCCCCAAAAAAAAAAAAAAAAAATAGATGACTGAGGTGTTGGTCTTAGCGTGGCGTGGTGTGGTGTGGAATGGTGTCGGTGTAGGTTGTGTGGTTTCGTGTGGTGTACTGTAGGTGTTGCTGTGGTGTAGGTGTTGCTGTGGTGTGGTGTAGGAATAATAATAATAATAATAATAAAAATGATAATAATAATATTGATAATAATAATAATACTAATAATAATAATAATTAACGGTTTATTGAAAAAGTCGGCAGCCCGAAGGCTGAAAATATACATTAGACAAAAATGACTTATTACATACAAAGACATGGGGTAGGTGGGTCGTTTAACAAAAGCTTTCATTACTAAAAGAAGAAGGAAAAATGATTGAACATACAAATTATTATATTTTACAGTTGACGGCCCGGGCCTGGGCTGGTCATGGAGACATCGGGTGGTGTGATGTTCACGTGGTGTGGTAACTCGTCCTCGGGTGTTGATATGAGGGACCTCACGTGGTCATGGAGACATCAGGTGGTGTGGTGTTCACATGGTGTGGTAACTCGTCCTCGGGTGTTGATATGAAGGACTTCACGTGGTCATGGAGACATCGGGTGGTGTGGTGTTCACGTGGTGTAGTAACTCATCCTCGGGTGTTGATATGAAGGACCTCACGTGGTCATAGAGACACCGGGTGGCGTGGTGTTCACGTGGTACAGTGACTCGTCCTCAGGGTGTTGATATGAAGGACCTCACGTAGTCATAGGGACACCGTGTGGTGTGGGGTGGTGTCACAGTACCTCACTGCGCGGTGATGTGTTATCCCGTAGTCAGGTGCATAGCCGGCCGGCCCTCTGTTGTTCCCAGGGCGGACTGATTGGCACCTCCTGGTCAGAAGATGGTGGATAGTTCCCAGGAGTGCTTATCTCACTGGTGGGTTGCGGCTTTCACTGGTACTGTCTAGTGCTGAATTCACTTGCTTAAACACTGTTCATCACTGTTCA